GAATTCCTTTTTTACTTGGACATAATAAAACTAGTTAATGAAAATCATTTTGTAATAATAATGAAGTAATTTTCAGTTAATGGAGTTTTAAAAAAAAATTTTATCTTGAACGAAGCAATCTATTTTGTAGAACACGTGGCTTTAATTTTCCTTTCTTCCTGCCTGATAAAACATATGTGGGACAGGTCTTTCCGACTTACAAGCATCAATCTTATCATGATGTAAAAAAAAAGATTATTGTCCTTATTATTCAGCGATAATATTCTAAGAAAACTTAAATAAGTCTAATACATTCTAATTGATTTCCAAAAATAAATTTTTAAATAATACATTCGCGAACCCAATGTGTAATTTCATTTTTTCTGTCTTTTGTTTTATTTTATTTTATTTATTTATTTTTTCTTTTTTTTATAAATTAAAATTACCGAAAATACGAGTTTAATAATCGAGACTTAAATATTGCCATCAAAATAATTCATTTATATACTAAGGGAAAGTAAAATTTTAGCAGAAATTTGCGCAACTTGCAACATTGCAACTTTCAACGTACTGAAATTTCAATTTTTTTGTAATCAATGTATCAAGAACTTCGATTTCGCGTTCCACGGGCTTGAAACTTCGAAATCGTAATGGCACAAAACCGAGAACCAAATCCGCAACAATTAAAAATAATAAATTCGACGATATAGCGTAGGAGCGGAGTGGCGACGGCCTTTAAAAGCTCTCCCCTACCACAATATCAATTTTACAACACGGCTTCCTCGTGTGCTCGTCATCCTTTATCCACAGCACAACTGTTTCTGCTGCATAGGAGAATGAGGAGGAGGAGGAGGAGGAGGAGGAGGAGGAGAAGGAGGAGCAAACGACACTGGAAAAAGGAAGCGACAAAGTAGTTCGCCGCGTCGTTTACTTACGAAAGGCCCAGAGCCGAATTCGCGGTTTAACGGCCTCAAACCATCATCCCCGTCGCTTTTAATCACGCAGTGGAACTTTAATTTTAGCCTCGCACCCCCGCAACCCGGACCAATTGGTACGTGCGATAACTCAGCGGCCCCCGACGTCACTCCTCCGATTGCAAGCGCCACTTCAGCTGCCGTAAGCCTGAGTTGGAGCACTTCGAGATTGCGTTCTCGGAGCCGCTTTTCCTTGTCGCCCTTCTACATCTATTAATGCGTCTGTGTGCTCCTCGAGGCGCAGCGTTAACGCTGGGCGCGTCGGTGAAGCATTGATTGTCAGCGCATAGCTTCTGGCGAAACAAACTTTCATTTGGCCGACTCATTGCTTCTTGCGTTCACCTGCCTTAATAAAAATAAGCTATATATTGTCGTTTCATGGATCGTTCGAGAATTTAAATAATTGCAAGCCGTCGGGTAAAAATCATTGCTTTATGAGTGTAATGTAATAAAAAAATTCCATTTTATGGAGAAACCCGCCCGTAAAAGTGTCGAAACGATGTCGATTCTTCTCTACACGCTCTTAGTGCTTAATTGGATTAATTGGGACATTTGGCCGATGACTGATCGATGGATTTTTCGACTTTTTACATATTCAAAAAAGGTAGGCGCCTAGTCGCGCCGTCACCTAGGATTTTCATTATCGTATACTCTATCGTCATTTCATGTATTCGTCATACATACTAATATTGCCTGCAATTCATCTGCGTTTAAAGAAGATTCAGCATGAATGTCATTCATTTATGGATCTGGGAATACACGGATGTTCAATGCTTGAAATGCAATTTTATTATCAACGCTTCAGTCTCTGTCTATCGCCTATTCATTATTTTGTAATTATTTCTTAGCTAAAGTAACTACGTTTATTTTCTTAACCTACGAGATTACTACAATCATCACCATAAATAATCTAACTATGCATGTAATAATGCAAAGATACCTAAAAGTGCCGAAAATAGTCGAAAAATTTTATTTCATAAGTTCGCCTATAAGTTACGTAAGAATAACCGTTAAGATGAATATTGATATTACACAGTTGGATATAAGCAACTTTCTGGTCGTGTACCACTCCTGCCCTCTTTTCTATTTGCCTCAGTTTTTTTCGCTACTTATCAGCAAGCAGTGACTGCTTCCATTTCCCATATTTCCCATTGAAATTCAGGCAACCGTTGATCCCGATCATCCGTCGTCTCACGAGACGCCATTTTATTTATGAATGCATCGATATTTTCTCTTATCATTTAAAGGACTCCCCCCAATATCTAAGAATTTCGTTTTTCATATACCTCTCAAGAAAATCTTTGGATTTCCCGTCACATTACCCTATATAATTAAGAGAGAGAGAGAGAGGGAGAGAGAGAGAGAGAGAGAGAGAGAGAGAGAGAGAGATTCTCTGTCATCGTTCATGGGCATCGACGCCCATTAGATTTTTAATCAGTCTTTAACGAATGTCCCTTCTTCGTTCTAAAGCCCTGAAAAAATTGAGTACAATCATTGTTCACAAATCAACAAATTAAATAAATATATCTACATGTTAGATATCAAGTACCTAATTAGTCCTATTATTTATTTAATTTAATTAACTATCGACGTATTACGTATCTATTCATATCATCATCGACTTCCCAGTGCAAACATCTATTTCATCGAATATAATATAGCAGCTGAGTAGACCGTCAAGGCTAAAAAATCAAAGGGCTAAAAATAAATAAAATATCGGGTACTGTTTAAATAATTCAGAGAGTTCGCGTACACGAGCCATCCTACCAAATCTGCCATCCCGTGTAAAAATGGAAACAGAAGGAGCTGAAATATTTCCTCACGTAACACGACGCACGCCTCGTCGAGTTTCCATTTCTCGTCATCGTCCTCGCCAAGGAGACACTCGTCTTCGACGACGAGGGCCGCGATCTGTTTTCCCCCTCTTTGTCCCTAATTTATCGCAGACTCGCGTACGCATAGAAAAGCGCCTCTTCTCTCGTGATTGATAAGGTCGCCCCTTCAAAGAAAAAAAAAGAAGAGAGGGATCATACGTCTGCACTCACCCACCCCCGGTGGTGATATTTCCTCGTTGAACCGCCGTTGTATCACCCTTCTTTTCGCCGTTTCCCCTCGCTACCACCTGCTTAATACTTGCTCTCCTTTATTTCCCAACTCCGAGGACGGATATGTTCGGGCATTTTTAAATTTGCCGATATATTACAAGTACTACAAAGAATAATGAAGAAGCGAGAGTACTTGGAAAGTTAGACACGCGAAATAAAATTTGCACCGACGATATCGAGCGAGTATACAAGTTGTCGATTATGTCAATACTTTGCGTCGACTTTGCTGAAAATGTTGCCAACGAAAAGGAATGAGAATATTCGCTTTTGTTTCCATAAGGTTTTTCCTCCATAATCTCTAGAATAGCAGAAACATGTAAAACCAATTCTATTTTATAATACAACAAATACTACACTTGTTGACTTACTTTACATCAATGTTCTATACTCTACAAAATAAATCTCGTAACGTAAAATTTACGTTTATTATCGCTTCTACTAAAAATTGCCAAACTGGAGAGTGAGGAAGTATAACGATCATAAAAAACATAATTGCTTTATCTGTACAAAGACAATTTTTAGCTTTATCTACTAAATTCCATATGCAATTCTATTATAATAATATACAATACTAATAAGCAAATAATCGGCCGATATGATAACAATTGCTAGTGAGCTATTTTTTAAATGATTGATAAATTGCAAAGTTATGTATAATGATACGAATGAAAATAAACCAATTCGATTCTAGAATCCAGTATGCTCGTTTAAAGCCATTTACAAGCCAATAATACATTATAAGGGATGAGTGCCAGGCTTTCAGTTCCCTCGAGATGACATATGCAGAGGCTTCCGGACGACCAGTGAGTTGTAGTGATGAACTTTGACGAATTTGCTTCTGCCTGTGGATCGATGATAAATCAGTTTTCTCTCTCTCTCTCTCTCTCTCTTTCTATTTCACTCATTCACGCACACATATTCACTAATATTCTATGCGTATATTACACATATGTGTTTGTGTGTGTTTAAATAACTGAATAAATAAATAAATAAATAAATAAAGATAGATAGATAGATAGATAAATATAGCTTTAACTCGGACCTAATTAGCAAACGATAAATCTTCATAAGCATATGCGAAAAGGTAAATGGCATCGGAAAACTTTCGAGATTTTCCGCTTGCCAATTCGCCATGCTACCGACTTAATTAAGAAACTTTTTATTGACATTTATTTCAAAAAGAAATATTATTTTTTAATACCACCAAGAGAACAGAGAAATTGGTCACTCCCGCGCTTTTAGAAACAATAACACATGACTCGGCCAAGAACTCTAATGACCTTCCATTCTTTACGACAATACCGCTTTTCACTATAAATAATTACCAACCCACTTAAATTTGATCCGCATATATTCGTCAATTTAAGTCGAGTAGTACTTATCCTATGCATGTTTAATTTAATGCACGGTAATTCAAAACGTATCTCGCAATATGTTGACAATACATTTCAATAAATTGCATTTAATATAATAGTATATCTGTATAATTTAAACAGCCGCCTAAAATAAATTATATAGTTTTTTAATTATCTAGTATACGTATAGCATTCAGAAAATTTATTCATCAAAACAAACAAAAATTGTCTTAAAATAAAAAACGCCCGTATACATATATATCTAGGGTAAAATATTTTCCGCCCGTCTAAGTGATCGAATTCTATACAAACTTCGAACATTCGCAAACTTGACGATCGGGCTATTAGCGCTTTAAGCGTTCTTAAAATTTGAAACAAATTATATTCGGATCTAATCGACATATTTGTCGAATAATATCAAAGCATCGTTGAAACCGTTTACCCATTTTCACCTGAGGGAAAGCCAAATCAACAATTGATAGTTCCTTACTATCGATAATCGGGCTCGACTTCCATAAACGATAAAGCCTTCGTATAACAATCAATCGCAAGTAAGCTACAACTAAGATCCGAAATTTCCATTACAGAAGTGGAAGTAAGATCACCTCGCTTCACCGGGCTCAGTTGGCTGGCATTTCCTGCCCTCCACGCGGCCTACAAGCACGTGCAGCTGGAGCTGGAGTTCCGTCCGGAGGCTTGGGATGGCGTGCTGCTGCTGGCCGGCGAGCGGGACGACCTGCAGGGCGACTTCATGGCCCTCATAATTCACCACGGCTACGTTGAGTTCAGGTGAGGCTGTTAGGTAGCTTCTCATTAACCGCATGTATTTCTGATTTTACAAACGAACTATTGTTACGAATTACTCATCGCTCCATACTAACTAAATAACTCTTTAAAAACATATGGTATATAGCGCAGTAAATTTTGCTGACTTTGATGACGTAAAAATTTCATTTCACTCCCTAATTCGCTTTTGATTAAAATATTTTATTAAAATACTAAATGGCCTGTAATCAGCTTACGATGAATGGAAATGCAGAAGAGCGACCGTATTTGAACGGAATAATATTAAGTACTTAAATATGACCTTTCTGTTACAAAATCTTACGTTACAATATTATAATGTATTTAGATTTCATTTGTACTGTATTTACATGGATGTTATCTTAAAGCACAGATATTATCTTGAAATTAAATTTCTAAAATATTCAAATTCGTTAAAATCTTATTTCTACTCTTTGATCGTTATGTAAAATGTATGATGGATAATTAAATTATACCAATTAAAATGGCTTTATGTATTCGAAATTATAAAATTCGCAAATTCGAATAATATTCTTGTTGTTGAGATTCATCAAAATTGTTAAATAAATTTCATATATACCATTCAATAGTAAATTAAATTAACGGAAATGTTTTTATATCTAAAGATTTATTGTAATTAAATATACTTTTATTAGATAGTCGGATATATCGTTCGATAATCGTAGTGATTATAGCATAGTGTTTAATTTTCAGACATTTCTCTCCATATTAATTATCCATATTACCAAAAAAGTTTCATATAAATCAACATGATTAAAATAATTGTCAAATTACCAAGGATAATTTGCCACGCCAAAATAAAAATTACAATATATTGTGGTTATTCAATATATCTAATTCTAACTCATAATATGAAATTATGTAGATAAATTATTATGATTATGATACCATTATATCTTACATTGAATAAGATATTACGTACTCGTAAAGTCGTTGCAATATATTTTTAAATTATTTTAAATACCAATTGTTGACATTTATTTTCATAGACATTTATAATACTATAATAATATAGGTACAATGACGATAAATTATTCAATCATAACATAATCGAAGTACATTAATATGTTTTCAAATTTTTTACAACAATATTTTATATATTTTCCACGCTAAAAACGATTTTAATGAAATGTATCGATATTTCTAATTGCAATCTGCATTAATTGGTGGAGAAGAGACATAGTATATGACAAAAAATTAATATAATGATTTACAAGCATAGTGTTGTTGACGTGCGGTGAAAGCTGATAAACTAAAATTTTGTTATTAAACTATCTTAAAAAATGCTCTAAAAATGTAAATTATTATTATTTAAACATTTAACGATAAAAGCAACTGTTAAATTATCCGCTGGATGCTTTAATGTTGTACTATCAAATTAAATAATAATGAAAGTTACTTTATGTTTATAAAATTAAATTACTGTAGCATATCGATAAGATATTTTTATTTAAAGATAATGAATCTCTATTATTAATTTCAGAATTCTATAATTATCTGATTGAGAATTCTATAATTGCGTGATTTTAAATTGATTAATGAATCATTTGTATTTAGCTAAATTCGAATTAACATTATTGTAAGTAAAGCAAAGGCTATAATTGTGAGTGGAAAATTATTCAATAAAGATAATCACAATTATAATTGTAATAATAATTTAACTAGAATATGAAGCATTTTATTAATTTCATTATACCACGAAAGATCTGCCAAAAATTTGACAAATTTTACAAATTTGAAATATCAAAAACAAAAACACAAAAAGAAAGAAAATTGAAAACCTCTGTAACCTTCGAATCCTTTCTTATATGCCGCAATTTGAATATTTATAGTCGAAAATTATTTATTTTTACTGCCAAACATTGATTGATTAAAGTAAAAGTTTACTAATTTTAAGAGACTCGATGTGGTGTGAAACGTATGAAATGATAGACAAATAAAGATAATCATCGCTCGATCGCATTAGATAGCTGAACATTCGATAGAAAGTAATTCAGTTTGAAATGCAAGCTAAAGCTATTGAGCCGTTCTCAACCCCAAAAAAATAATCAAAATCAACAGTAAAAAAATTTAAAAAAAAATAAAGATATACAATAGTTTAATTAAAAAATTGAATTACAATTCCTATTTAACTACTCGAATTATGATTTTTCAAGTAATACGGAAATCAAGTATATTTTTCAACATTCCGAATTATGTCCTTTTCCACTTATTTTATTGTACGCGAAACATCCACATTATACTCAAAATGGAAAAATTTGTTTCGAATAGACAATAGGATGCAAAACATTTATATAAAAAAAAAAATATAATCTAATAATATTTTAATAGAATTTTTGATAAATGAAATTCTGTTGAACAAACTACACAGAATGAATAATAGAACTTTCAAGCAAATATTACTTTTTTTTTTCATTTTGTAATAGAAACAATCAATGTGAATGTAACCTTCTTTTTTATTAATATTACAGAAAATAATGCGAGCGTTAATTTCATAGAACATGTAAATGAAATTAAGTAAAATATAAGAATATATGAATGTATATTTTCTGTATTTTCATTGTATCTTAAATTGTATTAATTGACCAAAATTATTACATTTTAATATGGTTTGCCAAAGTTTTCGAAAGTTTACAAAAGTTTATTAAAGTTTAACGAAGTTTAACACGCTATGGACCAGAATCCATTTCTATTCGAGATGTAGTTGAAAAGTTCTCGAGGTAGTATTATTCCTACCTTTACTGATGTTTCACATTATCGACATAATGGATATCGATTGTGAGAAAATGTCAATTTATTAAAAAATTAAATTCACTTTTCCTACCCAGAAAGTTATAATACATTCGTGAAAAATATGAAGTTAATAAAAATTTCAGTTGATAAAAAATTTATTACATCGTTTATGGTTAAAGTTATTAGTTATTCAAAGAATATTTTAAAGCTCAAAATTCATGTGTAATGAAATTCATTTTTTTTTTTTTTTTTTTTTTTTGTATTTTAATAAAATAATAAATTTGAGTAAATCTTTTGTTTTTTGTTTTTAATGAAATTACAATTATCAAGAAAATAAATAAAAAGATTTTAAAAATTTTTACGTAATTTTACTTACTAACGATTAATACAATCTTTTGAATATTTATACTAAGCTTTATATAAATGTATATTTCATTTTATCAAACATAACTCGAGAAAATTATATTTCTTTACGTAGTAATGTTTTCTTAATTGAAGCCGCTAAGCTATTTCATAACTCCTGGTTAATTATGTATAACTATAATTTTAATTTACTTTCTCTTGCAAGTTTTTAATGAAAATTAAAAATTAAAATTAGTCCTATAAGGAAATGAACTTACACGAGTTCTAAATTTTTAACGACTCTATATGATATTCATTAAAATTAAAATTTGTACAAACGATAATGACAACAGCTATGCTAACTCTTTTCAAATGCTCAATATTTATCTTCGGCTCTTCCTCTTGATAATGAACAGTCCAAGTGCCAAGTTACAGAAATGTGCGAAGCGGTAAGCAATTCTGCACGAAATACCTGCGCGATTACATATATCATTTCCTTGATATTTTGCTGCATATATCGAGACGCTGCAGAATGTAGTAACGTTGGCTATTGTATTTAATAATATGCGCCATGCGAGGCTCAATGATTTATCTCAATGATCAATAGCAAAATATTACAAATAGCAATCCATTTCCCATGTCGGGAATAACAAAATTTCGTATCATTTCGTATGAATGATATTGAAAGTAAAATGATGCATAAACTATAAGATATCGCGAGTAATTATATTGCATCAAATTAATAATACAACTGTCCCAGATACCTGGTATATTTTTTATAATATAACGTAAAGTGCTCACGATGATTAATAGTTGCAGTTAGCTTTGGTTTTGATAAATGAGTTCGAAATAATGTCGAGGTCGAAATTTTATTCTATTTTGATGTCTTCGTATATGCAGAAGAGAGTTGTTATTGCTCTTTTCTACATTTCTATTTACTTCTTTCAAAGAACATATCGTTCGAAACAATGTGCTCCCGCGTATTTCTTCTGCACTGCCAATGTACTTTTTACGATTCACGCGCTTCTCCAGTCTATTATAAAAATGACAAAATGATTTTATCTTTTATAAACATTACATGATCACGCGTAATTGCTAAATGTGCTTCCCAACCAAAATTAATGCGACAGACGTCGACGACACCACCAGACGTATAAAATATTTAATTTTACACTAATAATTAATAACGGAGAACAGATCCATATTATGATTACCAAGATCTAAAACTATTTATGTTGAGAATTTTATACAGATCGTTAAATAGTCGATTGTTGATCAAATGTGAACACGTTATACCTTTGTCGAGGATCTCAAAAGTTACTCTCTACGGATTTGACACCTTCGTTGAACTACATGACAGTTGTTCTTCTGTGAGTTTATTACCGTTATACAAGCGCTTGACAGTTCGATCGTTCAAACCGCATAGAAGTTTCAAATAATACGCAATATTTCTCTCGGAGCTTTGGGCTTTCGTTTTTTCGATTCCCAGTGCGAACGTGATCACGCCATGTAATAAATAGATAGTGGAGCCTTATATTTCGAAATCCTGTGATACACGCTATAAGTGAATTCAAGATTATGTTTGTCGACTTTGTACAATCGGCAATTAAATTATAAAATGGTCATGCATTATGTAATGATCGAGAATTTCTTTGTAATTGTTTTTTTTTTTTTTTTTTTTTTTTTTTTTTTTTATACGAATAATCATTTACTATTTCATTAAAACTTTATTGAAGAAAATTTACGCTATCTATTTCACAAAGTCTCTATTTTTATAATTATGTTTACGGTAATTGATGAATTTCAACCTTAATATTGTACTTGCTCTTCTATTCTTGATAAAGCATAATTTATATATAGCGTGCATGAATTATTTATTTGACGAAAGAAAAAAACTTTAATTATTTCTTAATAAACCATATTTCATTTAGTCTATTTTCGGGACATTCAAAAATGTTAAATATATCATTCCCATTACGTTCCAATAAGAAGATATAATTTAAATTATTTAATTGACATTAAAGTAAAAATGTTTGATTGAAATATGATCTTTCATTACTCGCTCTTATTGGAAATAGCAATTGTTTTAATTGTAATATAATAATTATATACTTGTAATGCAATATTACAGAAATTTTAAAATTATATCGGCTCAACTACGATTTTCTTTGAAAAAACTATTAAAAAACGCTTTTGCCAAAAATGAAGGATCAGATGCACATGACTTACAAGCTATACTAAGCTTTACATATCTGTATTTTTGTACATGAAATTCAATTTCGCAAACTTTTACCGAATAACTTACCAAAGAAAGGCAGATGGAAAACTATGAATAAGCAAATACATAGTGCAAAGAGACTGCTCTAAATTTATGCAAAAATGGGCAACTACTGGTATACGTAGATGTTGACGTCATCATCGTCTATATCTAACTGCATAATGGCGTCTACATACAGACAAAGAAATGGTGAGAATTATAAAGAAAAACTAAGGGAATCAGAAGAACAGAGAGTGGAAGAGAGAAGAACAGAGACAGAGAGAGAGAGAGAGAGAGAGAGAGAGAGAGAGATAAAAAGTGAACCAGGACAAGCTTCCACTTTGGCAACGGAAAAGATGGATGCTCGAAGCTCGCCTTCAAAAATAAATTCCATGACTAAATGTCTTTCATATGTCTGTGAACATGTAAAACCGTACACGTATTCTTGAATATTAAGGTCGCATTGCTCGTAGATCTTTTTAATTCTTTAAATTCTTTAATTTCATAAAATCCAGTGTATACAGCAGTTATCTTATTATTAATTTTTGGTTTTCTCTGTTGGAAGTAAAAGATTTTACTTATTATTTTGAGCCTCTATTAAACAATTTTGTAAAATATTAACATTATACATAAAATAAAATATAAAAATAAAATTTAAATACTTATTTAAATAGAATAAAGAAATTTTGGTAATTTTTTTAAGGCAAAGCAAGTGCAAACAATTTATTTATCTAAAATATAATGTTTTATGAAATAAGACATATAAATCACAAAGCTACCAAAAATGACGAAATTAGAAAAGCATTAATCTTCTAAATCAACGTTTTAAATTATTTTTAAAACATTTTTTAAAAAAGTTTTTAAGTTAACGATTCTGAAATATTAACAACTGAAATCTTAGATTTCTTCTTTTTTTTTTCTTCAATATTACTCATTATTACCTGAGAATATTTTAATACTACATCAAATATTAATCCGCATGCCTTTATAATTCATTAGACAACCTTTTCGAAAATTTGTTATACCATCTTTACTATATACGCGTATATCGATTTATTCAGAGGAAACAAATTTCCATTATTGAATATAAAATTGTATTAATTTTGATATCTTCATAACGGATCCTTTCATTTTTCATTGATCAACTACATACACTTTTAAAATATTTTCTGTTTAAAAATAGAATTATTTTCAATATTTAACTAAATACTCAAAAGAAAGGTAAAATACTTTACAATTTATTTAGCATAAGTAGGCAAAAATGTATAGACAGCGTTTATTTTTTGTTTTATTTAAATTAAGGATTTTTTTTTTTATAATAATTTAAAAGTATATTCTAAAAATAATATTTCCTATCGATTATAATTTTATAGAGTAAGAAAATTATTACAACGTTTAGATCATCAAAATAACTGCGTATAATACGAATTTCAAATTATGTAATTCTGTATTGTTAATGTACAGCACGAATGGAACATATAATATATTTTATCTTCAATATAGTATGACTAGTAATTAAATTTAATATTTAAATAATATTAACAACAGCTAACATTGCTTAAAAATTCTGATTAAAAAAGTTTCCGCTTAAAAAATGCATCAATGATATTTGACAATTAACAATTTTTTTTGTAAATATACGAATAAAAATTGAAAATATTCAAAATTTATTAATTTGTTACCAACAAGACCGTCGCTTCAACAACTTATTAGCAGTACAATTATTTACGTATACACTCAATGCTATTCTTCAACAATGTTAAAATCATAAATTTCGACATTATATTGGTCGTACCTCCCTTTAGAAAGAACGTAGAAAAATTTTCCATAAGGATTACCAGATTATATACAGTACTTTCGAGGCCCCGATAACTGCGATAAAAAAAAATAGTTCAACACCGTAGTAAAAATTACGATGAACCCTCGTCCTATCTTTATCTGAAGTTGGACGATAATCTTTTATCCGAACATAAAGATAACGCATACTCCTCGAGTCAATATCCGATAAGTTTTACAAGAAAATTCTTCCCGTAAAACTATACGACATTATAGGATCGACCTTTACACAGCGAAATCCCAAAGAGATCTCTCCTCGATAATGTATCGATTCATCGGCCGCACAAATTATTTTGTAACACACCACTGCGACATCGGCCTCCGCATACGTTTCGTTTTCCAAGCCAGAATCCGTTGGCGCTGGCGCTGACTTGCACCACTTGCACCACTGGTGACTCAACGCATTCGTAACTCGTCGATTTATGCGCTTCTTCCACTGCAACTTGGCGCTCGTTGTCTATTTTGCGAGAGCAGAAATGCCGAGGCGTGGGCGAATTATTGCAATAGTGTATTTGAACAGTTGCGCGCCTCAGCCACTGGAATATTGTAATTGAAGAGCGCGAAACGCGCGCCGGATTCCTCCTACTTTTTTCTACCATCTCTTCAGTGCGCTTTTTTGCTTCGCTGGCTTCGCCCATATAACAGAGAGGGATTGACTTATTCGCCACTTCAAAGTTCCGGCATATCTTTTAATTTATTCGCGACGCTGTCGACAATTCCACCAGCCCCAAATATCCATTGAATTAATCGAGAGCATAGACGTTTTACCTTTTGAAAGCGTGGAATTGTTTTTCCTTGGTCCTGATTTATAATTCATGATATATAAGGCTTTTAATCCCAATAAAACTTGAATACTTCATTTAATGTCGATGGTTCTACGCATAAGGTTGCAAATGTTTAATCGAGCCTTTTGAAATCCAACTAACCTCTTTCGATGCACAAGCAAATGCAGAAATAATTATACGACACAAAAGAATATTATAACGAAACTCATTCGTGCATTTTAACAATCCGCGTCTGCTTAATTTTATCTTGTGCAACTGTGTAGGCTAAAATTTATTAACTTCAGTTAATACACACACGAACGTACGCACACGCCAATACACATATAATCAATCGATTATGTATAATGATATGAATTTTCGTAGAATAAAAAATTGGAAATTCAATAGTTGATGAAACTTTGAGACCGAATGACGCTTTATTTATAGTCGAATGCTCTTATCTTATAATTATATGCTGCTTCAACCAATTAGATAAATAAATATGGCACTAAGTACCACGCGGCAGCTCATCATACACGATGTCATCCTAATTGACCATTACTTTAACATAATTAAGCCGATTAAATGCGCCGACTCTGTAATATAATTTTAACGCTCATCGACCAACCTTAAAAACACAATTTACTAAGCATTAGTATAACATTTCATCGCGACAATATTGCGTGCCACATTTTTTTTTCAAACGCATTTCGAACTACCCCCACCCCAAGGGAGAGGCTACTAAGGCGAGGTGTTTATTATGGTAATAAAAGAAATGTGACTATCACGCTTTATGAAAGGCATGCACGCATCGTAAATAATGGTGCCAAAGGAGCACTCTTACTGTCTCAGGGCATGAATAGCAGCACCGACGTAAGATGCCTTCATGCTCAATGCCCACATTTCCGAAACTACTTTAACTATTGTACTTTTCTATTTTTTGGAGGCTTTTAGCATATCGCCGTGAAAGCTACAAATGGAAATGATTATTTAACAATACAATACTTCTACGCGGGTAGTCTCCTGCCTTGTGAATGGCAATAAGTGTGAATTACTTACGTACGCACCGAGACTTCGATTTTCAAAATAACTGTACAAAAACTACATAAACTATTACCATATCAAATTCGTGTCTTCTACGTTGAATGTATATTTATTTCTAGGTTAAATGGTGGAAATTAATAATAATGATAGTGTATATTTGGTTTAATTTATTATAACAATTGAGGAAATATTTATTTGTTAATATCAAACCCACTGTTTAGTATTTTCATTATGGGGAAATTGAATAAGAACATTTTTTAATGCATCAATAATTTAATAAGATTTTTAATTCGAGCACACATGGTAAATAGAAAAAAAAAATAAGATAATTTAGTTAATGATATATTATACTAATTGTATAAATTAATTATATAAATTTTTAATGAATGGTGAAACAACGGTTAGAAAGTTTTCGCAATAGAACGACTAAAGCAAAATTTATCTCTACAACGAGTAATTCGTATACATAAAGAGAGCTTGTAAATACAGAAAAACACACTTTTTTTTAATAAATGAAACAACACCCTTTTTTCAAACATTTTTATTAAAAAAAAAAAAAAAAAGGCAAAAAAAAATTAACAAAAACGTAAGAAAAAAAATAATTTAAACAGATGTATTTTAAAAATATGCAGTTTATTTCATTACAATGCAATGCGCAATAAAGTACAATAATAATCCGTGACTCAAAAAGAAAATATTTAACTGAAATGTTTATAAAAGTATTTAATATTCACTTTTAAAATCGTATCTAAATTTAATTACCAACTGCTTTCGTTTTTGATCTTCCAGATTTGACTGTGGAAGCGGCGTCGGCATTGTCAGAAGTTCTGAAACCGTCAAGCTGAATGAATGGAACATTTTGAATATCTACCGACACCGGTGGGATGCGTGGTTGCAATTAAATCAAGAGAAACGAATTCAGGGCAGATCAAAGGTAAGCAGTAGAAAGCCACATTTATTAACATAGATAGAAAACAACATCGTTTAGGGCATTTGTTAAATGCAATGCTTAAGAAATTGGATTATACAATATGAACAAACATTCATAAAAATAGATAGAGCGTAACTTTTATCAAAATTATTCATTCGCAAAAGTATGTCATGGATATATTAATATAATCATTAAAATACAAATTATATAGAATTATCATATTGCTGTTTTCATACGTTATATTCTACGGTACATTGTGCTTAACACATTATTTATTTGCATTATTTAAACTTTATGGCAACAAATATGAAGAATTAGTGTAAAAAGTATAAAAAAAGTACGAATAAGAACGCTTATAAGAAATAAGCGAATAGGGTAAGATTTAACATATTTATCTTACGAATTAAATTTATTTACTTAAAGATTTATACTATAAATAAATACAGTATAATTAATTATATAAACTCTTCATATGTAAACACATGTGTATGTGGGCAATAATGAAAAATTGTATATTACAGTTACAATTTACATTTTACAATCGTTACATTTTGTTTTTGTTTTTTTTTTTTTTTTTTTTTTTTTTTTTTTTTTTTTTTTTTTTTTATTTGCCTCAAACTGTATCCTTAAAATCTACAAATAATATTATGAAAATTCCAATTACTAAAGCACATAGCAACAACATAATCGACCGATAGAGCATTTTAATCTCTTAAAAACTAATAATTTTGTAACATTCTATTTGGCTTATCGATATAAAATGATTGATTAAAATGAAAATATGAAAATATATTGAAATGATAATTCTTCTTAATATTTACAGCCGTAATACTCGAAAAACATTAAACTTTTACAAATATCAAATACACAATAAGTGCCCTACTTTTATCCGCTGCTTTGATCTGAAAAGTGCATTTAGAAAAATATATGCTCAATGTTTCTGATATCTAGGTATTATTTAAGTAGAAAAATGTTGCAAACTTACTATAAGATCTTGGATAAATAAATTTTATCTTTGTTATACATTTTTAATAGAACGATTGCGGCAACATCGCACAAATGATATTGCGCTTTCATAAAATTCTTAAATTGAATGAATTCTATTTATAAGATCTATTTATAAGAATGAAAGTTCGTTGATGCATTACAGCCAATTAAAAGTGTAATGTTATTGTTCAATTATATTTGACGTAATTAAATAGATATAGATAGTTTGATATGACAAAAATTGTTAAAATAAATTAACATATAATCGTTAAATTATTTTATTATGAAATATTTTAACAGCTTAATGTGTTTTTATATAAATTGTTACAATTTACAATTATTATTAATATATTAATATAAAAATTAATTGACGATATTAATAATAATATTAATAGAAAATTTTAACGATATTAATAGAAAACGTTGAAAAATAAAAGGCCAAAAGAATTTCAAAACCTTATGAAAATAGACTTGATTTAACAGAATTACCAAGTATAAAATAAATTGTAAAATAATAATAATTAAATTTGCTTGCGAGAGTTGAAGCTGTTTATATTCGCAATAAACATTCCTTAACTTGTCTGCAAAGAGATTGGGTAAACCGAGGGAAGAAAAACTGAATCAAATATTTCAAAGTCAGTTTGAAAGAAAACCTTTTATTCGAAAGCAAAGCTAATAATCAAGAATTTTCCAGCTGTAATAGTCAAAATTGCGAATTGGTGTCGACAATGCACACGGCTTTAAGAGGTTAAAAACTACTCGAATTCAAACCAAAAGAATGAATTTCAGGGATAACGCGAGTGTCGAATCTCGGTTGCAAAGCAGGTCAAGCGCGCCAAAAGAGCCGAAAGAAGTGCGGATAGAGTCGATCCTTTGGCCTCAAATGGAACAATGCAAAGAAATGGTGATTTAATTAGAGAGGAAGTGGAATGCAAAATAATTAAACAGTCCAAGCGGTCATTCGTACACTTTAGAAGTTCACTGCCTGGGAACGGCATAACGCCCACACCTTTACAACCTCGTTACAAAGCTTTATATATCCGGGACGGCTGCCCCTTAACTTTTCATTCTTTTGCCACGAACCCAAGAGTTTTCTCCCGTCTCGGTCATTTTCGCAAATCGAAAAAGTTGCGCAATAATCATTGTGGCGAACTCAACGTGGAGAACTCGTTCGCCGGCACTTAAGTCCACGCGACGATAAAAGTTAAGCTTCGGATCTTTTTTGTCTACGTCACGAAATATGAACGTGCGATTGGCGCAATTCGGAGGACGAGACGACGGCGCAATATCAGCTGATGAAGATAATTGAGGACATTAATTAAGTCTAGAGGAGAAGGGGGATTCGATTGTTTTAACGCCGTTACTGAAAAGATTTCAAAGTTTCTCGTGCGAACGCCCCGGCTTACGTTCGTAAGGCTTTAACCATTTTGCCGAGATTATGTTTTCTAATTTTCCTATTTCACCAACTTCATTGATATTGCAAAAATCATTGAAGTAAATTCGTTTATTACAAAATAATTTTTCAAAACATACTCTTCCATCTGTAAAGTCAACTTTTTGTATTTGTTTCACCGTTAACTGCATCTGCAAATAAATAATATACAAATATTCGAAAAGTGAATTTGCATACATTAATTATTATTATTTACTTATTTCATAAAATTTTACTGATGTAAACTGTTATATCAATGCTTGCATAAATGAGTTTGCATTTTGTTTTTTTTTTTTAATAAAATGTCCATAAATGCAGATTGAAGTAAGTAGAAATTCAAATTGCCATCGACGAGTAACTAACTATTCGAGGTAAACCTCAACTCCTGAACTTAAACCTTAAAATAAGTACAAATTATTTATTATGTTCACCCATACAAATTAAATGTTCGATTAAAAATTCCCAATTAAAAGTACTACTATAAAAACTATATTTATCAATGATATATATTATTACAATTAAACTATTTTAGTTACAGTTTAAAAAATGTATCAATGCCATCGAATACTATAAACCAAAATAATTCTGAATAAATTGTGCGGGTTCACGTGTTAAATAAAATTCAAAACCACGTAAAGACTTGGATCGTTGTCAATTATTCGCTTATAGTACTGAAATGAGCATCAGCTATTGCGAGTTACATGTCTTTATATCTTTTATCGCAAAGATCGCAAGTTGCAAGACTCATCATGGCTCCGTATTAAGTAAGCCATTACGTCACCAGACCCCGGTTGAGCGCGAAGCGAAAATACCAAGGGCGTCGAGTTGTTGACGTAACGAAGGGAGGACTGAAAAATGTATAATCCCTTTGTCTGATAATATTCAGCGTATTAATGAAGTCCTAAGTTAAAGAATTGTAATATAGATAAAAATCTGCAGAGCAATATTAAATTGAATAAATATTTAATTTTATTATTATTGATACATTAAATTAACTTGTAAGTTACATATGCCCAAGTTAAGAGATGCTGTATCAAGATAAGAATTTTTTATGAATTTTGATATTTTTGGATATTTCGATTATGGAAAATAGATAAAGTTAAGCACACGACAGATGCTAAAATTTTACATTAATGTCTTTATTTTATATTTTAAACTCGGCTAATAGAAATAAATCCGTAACATAAAAGAAAATGTTCCCATTCGAATATAAAAAACAGGAATCCGATTTTCAATCCTCAAAGACATTTTTTGGAGACATAGCATATAATCCCAACCGTTACTTTACAAAAATTGAAATAGTTAGTGATCGTTATATGAAATAAAATTTCTATCAAATTTGTATACGAACTTGAAATTAAAAAAAAAAAAACAAAACAAAAAAAAAGTTAATTCATTCAATAATGCGCATAATAAAGTATATTATTAAGTATAATTGCACTACAAAATCTCTCGATCAAATTCATCTGCTGAAAAATCTTAAAGTTTTAATTTTTACACAAAACGTTCATCTCGCTTTTCTTAAGTTTGTAACGAAATCTACGTTTCAAGTATTGTCACTTTGAGTAATTCGACAGAATTCTCCAGGGTTTCTAGTTCAATGAGCTTCAAGCTCTTTTGCTCCAATTTTGCAGTATCTCCTATTTTCTTAGCTCGACACCTCGGTATTTCGACGGTGCACTTCTTGTTTCCAGAACAGAAAAATAAATCATTTCTAATACATTCAAAGATATGTTTTTAAAGCTTGTATCATTATTCAAATTTCGGTCTCCAGCTCAAGAGTGATTTGTCAAGACGATATGAATAAGAGCCAAATTGATAATCATTTTTAACAAGTTTCATCATCGTAGTTTACTATGATAATTTTATTATTTCGTATAATAATGAAATATATGCGATAAATGAATTTGTTGATTTGAAAATACGTGTAAATTTAAGATAAATCGTTATATAACGGTAATAATTTTGAAAGGTAAAATGAAAAATTTGAAACGTCCATATTAATTTGAGCGCAAACGGTAGTACTTAGAAAGAGTAAAAATTGCATCTATGATATAAATGAAAAAAAGTATGCAACAACGGATAAATTAAATATTAATTTATGTAACGACTGCATAACCAAGTATTATTATTATTATTATTATTATTATTCAATCGATCTCTCCCATATTTACAACAATTGTATGTAAAAGTGGCTTTTAAAAATAATTGTAATAAAAATAAATAACGTACAAAGCTACTACAGTTACATATAGATATTTGGAGTATTTGGTAAGCCATTATTTTTATACTATTGCTAACCAAGATATCAAAACATGTCAAATTTAAAAAAATTACATTCAATATTTCAAAATATATATCAATACCAAAATACAAACTATCCCAATTTGAATGGTTCTTTTTAATCAAAACCAGTAGCAGAGCGAAGCAATAATGTCAGACGAAAGTAATAAAAATTTCAAGAGAATGTAAAAAATAAAATATCCTTCCGACTATGAATGCTCTCCAACATCAAATTGGGTTAAGCATTTTGATTTTTAGCATTTTGTTTTTTATATATACCATATATATATATATATATATA